ATGCTTTATATTTTTTTCTTTTTTTTTTTTTTTTTTTGAGAGGTTTTAGCTATAAGATGCATGTGCTCACCAGAAAGAGAGAGGCAGAAACAGAAACGAAGTGTAAAACCCCCCCCCCGGGGGGGGGGGGATGGCCACGCTGCAATCCCTTCTCCTCCATTCTGCTCTTGGAATCTTGGGCACACATGCATATGCGCCCTGCGTGAGTTTAAGCCACTGGGTCTGGGACTTGAACTGCGGTCGACTACATGGGAGTCTAGCAACATAGCCATTACACCAACTACTGATCTCACTAAGTAATATTTCTGAGAGTCAAATGCCATAATAGATATAGAAAACACAGATGAAAATAAAAAACCATCCCTTCCTTCGTAGAACTTAGGGACCTAAGAGAGACAGAAGAGGGTGTGTAAACGGACCATTACTGTGCAGAACCACAAGCATTATCACTCAAACAAAGTGCTGTAAGTGCCCAAAAAAGAGAGACGTTTGCTATGCTTAGAGGATATTTCCCATGGAGCATTTCTCTCTCTTGTTCACAGTAAGAGAAGAGATCTGAGGCCCTGGAAATGGGAGTGCCAGGAAGCAAGGGGCAGTTATTTATGGAGGCCACATGGGTTCCAGGCAGAAGACTTTGTTCTATTCCCCCAGTGCAGGCAGCTCTGTTCCTGCAAAACTATCACAAAGAGACCAAGACCAGAGTGGCTTCTCTGCTATTGGTAGGCATGTGAGTCTGGTTGGAGGAAGCAGGCAGGGAGGCAGTGGAGAGGCATAGAGACCCCAAACCCAGGCCTGAGGATGAAGAGACATCTTTGTGGAAAGTGGTGCAAGAAGGAGAACAAGATAGGATTTATAGGTTCATTCTAAGCATCGATGTTCCTGTGTATTCAGGGTGTGCTAAGGGTCCCCTAATTTGCAGGTCCCTAAGGACATCTGTGCCTCTGGGCATAGAACCTAAGTCTCTTCCTTTACTGAGCTCAAAATTAATCCCTCAGGGAGACCAATAGGATCTCTAAGCCACTCAAGGAGTAGCTGGGGAACTCATGTGGACTGCCCCAAACCTTGCTTCAGCTCCTAGTAGAATTCTCAAAGGAGTCCATTTGAGGGCTCATTAAATTGTCCAGGCCGATCACTAACAAAGCCGGTTAGAGCAGTTGTGATCAGCCTTTTGTGTTGACTTTAATTCTGATTTGTAACTGGGGATGTCAAAGACAATTGAAGTGCTGTGTTTCACAGGAAACAGGAAGTGGGAGAGGAACAAGGAGGAGGAACGTGGTGTGGGGCTGGGAGATGAGCCCTGAGTCACGCACAGGCAGTTCTTTCTCCATCATCGTGGCAGAAAATACCCCTGAGGAGGGTTTTGAACCCCGAGCCCCAAGCACTTGTACATGGTCCACTTGGAGAGTGGAGAAAGTGGGCCTTGAAGGCTTTCTTCACTGCCCAGGAAAATGAACTGCTTGACTTTGGTTCCCTGGGAGATATTCCTTAAACCCCTAGTACTCAGCTTTTCACAACCCTGTGTTCAGCAGTTACGTAAGTGAGAAATAAATGTCTCTGGGGTTAAACCACTGACACTTGGGAGTCATTTGTTACAGCACCTAGAATTACTTCAGCTAATACGATGGTCGTTTCTCAGCTATTGGAGCAGAACTAAGGAAATGAAATGCCCCTCTATAGAAAGGGCAAGCCAAGGAGGCTGCCCCCTTCCTTGTTGCTTCCTGTCATTTTGAAGTATGTGCCCAGGACTCCAGATCCACCCTGAGAGGGAAAGGGACGCTTTGTTTCCCTTTTACAAATAGGCGTGCAACCGGGATGGGCGATGGAACCAGATGAGGTGACAAGCAGTGCGGAGCGATCGGACCGCCTTTGCTCACAGCTATAAAGGAGGCAGGAGGTGGCAGCCATTCACTCCAGAGTTGGGTGGACCTAGACAGAGATTGGTGTGCTGCCACCTACTAGTTGTGTGTGTTCCCCCTTCTGAACCTCAGTGTTCTCATCTGTGAATTGACTGCAGCAGTGTCCATCCACAAGCGTGGGGTGAGGATTAAATGGTACGACCTATGTAAAATGTAGCACCACCGCGGGCACAGAACTACATTTTTCAGTTTCAACCATTCTTATGTATGCCCCACATTCTGAGGGTCTACTATGTGCCCTCATGGGACTGTGTCACACAAAGAAATATCATCTGTAAGGTTTGCCAGGGAGAATAACAGAAAGGCCAAGAATCCCTCACCCCTGCACCCCCTTCAGCCTTCATCTCAGAATTGGGAGAAGGGGCTCTCTCAAAACTCTTCCTGGACATAGATGCACATATTTAAGTTCTGTTTCTCTCCCTCTTTTCCTTGACCTTAAAGATAAGATGCTGTTGTACTCTGGAAGAACCTTTTAAATTTCTGCTTTTAAGCAAAAACAACCATTGAATCCCAGTTTCCTTGGTGAGTATGTGTATACACATTAGCATGTGTATGAGAGAGGAAGGGGGAGAAAATGAATATGGAGGAGCTGGGAGTCAGCGTGAAAGGAGGCTGGCCTGGCAGAAGCTCCTCGCTGCTGGGGACCGAGGGCCCAGGTTAGGATTGAACCTGGGGCCCTGCAGGATCTGGCAGCCTGCTTGGGGCTGCGTCCAGCACACTCTGACCTTGCCAGGGCAGGTGGCAGATGGAGTCTTCAGAGCCAGTGAGTGCAAAATTCCGTTTCCCTCTCAGGGATTCTGGATGGCTTCACTGCACACTCAAAGGTCAGCCAAAACCGCTCCCTTTGTTCCCCAATGATGGCAAGGGCTTGGAAAGCTGTGTGAACTGTCCTCCCACCCCCGCCAGAGCAGCTGGCCTGCGACATGGCAGGAGGAGCGTTCCCCTTTGTGGGGCCTTGGGAGATGACCCCCCCCAGTACCCTCTTACGCATATCCTCAAGAAGGTGGTGTTGGCCTGACCACATCACAACACCTTTCCCTTCCTCCTGGATGGCAGGCTGACCTACATCATGAGCTGCAGAAGAATGACAAGAAAGATCGCTCCCCTGTGTAGTGCTACATGACCCCTGTATGAGCAAGCAGTCCACTTGGTTTGATGGGAAGACCTGACAACGACATGTTTGGTTAAGTCACATTTTACTTTTCTGAAAATGGTAGAAGAAAGAGAATGCAATCGGTATACACAGTAAAAATGAGCAACATAGTCCTCATGGTGTGTGTGTGTGTGTGTGTGTGTGTACATGACGTCACATGTGTGCGTGAAAA